TGGAAATATTAAATATACATACACCAGAAAAATAACATTCTGGAGTTTCCTTTCTAGAAAATTGCCATGAGACCAGTAGCTTCTATCTATATAATCTCTAACATCAGATGTCAGTTTGTTAATTTGACAATGTTGATAAATAACAAAAAGCACATAAGTTCAAAACTTCTACCATCCCTTAACACTCTTAGTTGTGAAAATTAAGAATGACTGATTTATAAGTTGTTACAAAATATGTCACAAATATCTAACCTTATGAAAGCTGAGTTGCAACAGGGGCTGAAGGCCAAACCTATAACACTCACTTCACACTTTTGTTTCTGAACTAGAGATTACGTCAGCAATATGGCAACATGGGAAATATAGCAATAAGCAGAAAAGCAAGACTCAGTAGATTGTGCCTACACCTCAATTAAGAGTCTCCATATATGCATAATACTAAGCTAAAATTGAAGAAAAACGAACCCGACTGGCATGGCTCAGTGGCTGAGCATCTACCTATGAACATGGTTCAATTTCTGGTCAAGGGACATGCCCAGGTTGCAGGCTCGATCCCCAGAGTGGTGGAGGCAGCCGATCAATGATTCTCTCTCATCATCGATGTTTCTATCTCTCTTTCCTTCTCCTTTCCTCTCTGAAATCAATAAAAATATATTTAAAAAAATAAAAATAAATGATGACAAAATAATGACTTTTTGAATACCCCAAAGCTGGAAGAATTCATCACGGGTAGATATACACTATAAGAATGGTTTAAAAAAAATTCTTCAAGCAGAAGGAAAATGATGCTAGGTGGAACTTTGGACCTACACAAAGGAATGAAGAACACTGGAAATCATAACTTGGTGGATAAATATAAGACTTTAAGTCACTATTCAGAACTTGCTTTTATGACTACTTTATTATGACCAGGACTAAAAACCAGTCAGAAGTCTGGGGTTGGGGGAGGGGCTCATCCACTCTAATCCTCACTGCAGGATGATCTGGCTGGGATTGTAGCTTGCCAAATCCTTGATGTCAGAATCTTTGGGTCTTGGGTTCAAATTGTTTGTAAATTTGCACGTATCCTCCTATTTTCAGTGCAGTAATCCTGCCTTCAACTGTGCTGCTGTCCTCCAGACCAGACACCCTTTTGTTTTAGCCTCTGAAGATGAAAAGCCTCCAGGCTTCTGCCCCAGGGAGGAAGGACTGGCACGGGCTCTGCAGGTCCAAGGGGTTTGTAGCTCCACCTTCATTCTGCTTTGACTGCCCAACATATTCCCATGCCTTCTGTGGGCTCTGAAATTTAAATCAAGGTACAGCTTGGATTTCTGCATCACTGGCTTTAGATTCAGTTTCTCTGATCAGCTAAGTCGGTTATCACTAGTCTATCTGCCTTCCAGCTTTCGAAATGGTCTCTGTGTGTGTCTGTGTGTTTCCCTCTCCTGTTCTCTTCATCCGTGGCAATTTGTGCCAAAACAAAACAAAAAATAAATATGGTCAGAAACAAGTAACCCAGGGAAGTTTGATGCTTTTGCTTTGTTTTTTGTTTTTTTTTTTTAATAAACACGAAGTGGAATTCAAATAAAATAAAATAAAATAAAATTTTCCTGGAAAAAGTATGGGTAAAACTATACCCCTATATTAATTCATGGTTAATGGATAAGATTATGGGGGATTTTATTTTATTTCTGTAATTTATAAATTTTTATAATACATAAATATGAACGTACTCTTTATCGTTAGATTATCCAATTATAGAAAATATAGATAATACTTAATAATAAGATATATAATCAGTTTTTTAAAATGCTCCAAAGCCCATCAGAGAGTTATAAACTGTTATTATGCTATTGTACGTTTTTTTCTAATTAAATTTGCTGTTTCATACCAATTTTATAATGAAAATAATATTTTTTCTCTTTGTGTCCACTGTTATAGCCACTAATGGGCTAGTGCAAGAAGTTTAGTTTGAACCACTGTTGAAGCACAGTTTTTACCCAGAAGGAAGGGGAGATCCATGGGAGACTCTTTGCTTCTCACCTTAGTAAATAGGAAGGATTGGTTTACTAGATTTGCTAATTATCAGCTTGGAAGAAAGGAAGACCTCATGCAAATTCCCGGGGAGTCATCAAAAGACCAGACAGAATGGATACAGGATGCTAGGAGGCCGTGGGACAGAGAACCGTGGTGGAGGTGAGTAATCCCGGGGAGGAGGTGGCACGACTTGCCCGCTTTGTTCAGCACCAGTCCTGCATGTCAGCAAACATATGCCGTGTGGATCCTGTCAAACAGTGCCTCCAGCCTACCCGAGAAACGGAATTGAAGGAAGATAGCTAGTGTTTGATGGAGATGAGGTGTTTCTTCACGGCCTTCAAATAAGCTGTCTTGTTCCCAAACCACATGCATGCATTGTCCCTGGCTTGGTGCTGCCATGGCATTCAAACTGGTGACCTTTAGCATTCCTCTGTGCAGGGCCCCACCATGAGGCGGCCCTGGAGAATGAATGTGGCATATTTGCTATCAATGGCATTCTGAAGATGTCATGGCTGCCTGCAAATATATCAGCATTTGTAATACTCATTTTGATTCCCCCTCCCCCCCCTTTTTTTTAAGCAGATAGGTTACTTAGTGCATTTTACTTTCTACTAATGAGTTACTGACTTTTGTTTTGATTTGGAACACTGAAGAGCACCCTGTATTTACAAGTCTACCCTTTAACAGACAAACCAGCCGGGTGGACTTTGCTATGCTAGTTTTGGTTCCTAAATTGTGGCAAATTCAAAAGGTGATAATGAATCTCTTGGCCTCTTACAAAGTCTTCCTCTTCCTCTTTCTGTACTATCTTTCTCTGGCTCTGTTTTCTTTCTTTCTCTCACTTTTTGTTAGGTTACTGTTGCGTATCAGTCTGTTTATTTGGGGAAGGAAGAGATGGGTTGTATTGGCCATTCATTGTGAAAACAACAGTCTCAACTTTATCACTAGATAATTTAAGAAAATCCCCTGTCTGTCATTAGGTAATTTCATCTGCCCAAATTAGCTTTTTAAGATCCCATCTAAATGAATTACTACCAGCAAAATTATAAAAAGAATTATAATTAGAGACAGAAGATATAAGTAATCCCTGACTGTTTGACAATGGATTTCCTTTGGAGAGGTTGAAAACATCATTAACATAAATTTAAATGCTTATTTACTTTACAGAGGTTAACTATAAAGTGACCTCTGAGGAAGGGTGCGTTTTAGAAAGTTAAGCACCAACATTGGGTTTACTAGTCCTTTGGAGAATGAATTTTAAATAAACTACTCAGTTTACCGAGGAATTGACCATCCTTACAAACTTCAACAATTCATTAAATGTTCAACTTTTCAATAACATGATTAAAGTGGCTCATTTGAAGTTTTTGGGTTGCTACTAGGCCAAATAATGCAATATTTTACATTCTGAATGCTGGGCAAGTGTCAGGGCATTAATTTGGTAAAAGAACAGTTGACTGCAGGGGAAATGTTTAAAGGAAAAATTTAAATTTGAGGTTATTCTCTTACTTTAAAGAAAAGATGGTATAATTGCTTTCTTAAAATTTCAATCTTTAGAGAGATTCTATCTGGGTACATAATAGAATTGGAAATACTTATACAGAGCTTCTTTTATGTCAGGTAATTTTCTAAAGTTTTACATATATGAAACATCACACCCCCAGGACAAAACTCTGAGGTTAACATTGTCCACCCTCCTGCTTTGTTAAATTAATAAAATTTATTTCTTAGAGCAATTTTAGATTCACAGCAAACTTAAGCAATTTCCCATATACCTTTGCCCTCTTCTCCCCACTACCAACATCCCCCACCAGATGGTGAACCTACAGAACGTGTAGGTACACAATGGTGAACTTACATGGACACACCATTATTATCCAAAATTCATAGTTTACATTAGCATTAAGTCATGGTGTAGTGCATTCTATGGATTTTGACAGCTGTACAATGACATATATTCAAGTATCATAAATGATCCTACCACTGTAGTATAACAGAATAGTTTTACTGCCCTAAAAATCCTCTGTGCTCTGCCCATTTATCCCTCATTCCCCAATCTTTGAGAACCATTTTTTTACTGTCTCCATGTTTTGTCTTTTCCAGAATGTCATATGGTTGAAATCATATAATAACATGTAGCCTTTGCAGATTGGCTTCTTTCACTTGGTAATGTGCATTCAATTTTCTTCCATGTCTTTTCGTGGCTTGATAACTGATTTCTTTTTAATGCTGAATAATATTCAATCGTCTGTATATACCACAGCTTATTTATCCATTCACCTACTGATGGGCATCTTGGTTGCTTCTAAGTTTTGACAATGATGCCTAAAGCTGCGGTAAACATCTGTGGGCAAGTTTTTACATGGACATAAGTTTTCAATTTCTTTGGGTAAGTACCAAGGAGTGTGATTGCTGGATCATATGATAAGAATATTTTTAGTTTTGTAAGACTAAAACTGTCTTTGAAAATGGTTGTACCATTTGGCATTCCCACCAGCAATGAATGAGAGTTAATGTTGCTCCACATCCCCACCCGGATAATAATGGGAAATTTTCTTTTTCCTTTTCCCCATTTATTCATTATTTATCATTCATTGAGTGCATATCAAACACCAAACACTATTAAGTGCTAAGAGAAAACAAGGAATAAGATAAGTCCTCGTCTCTTAAAAAGTTTACAGTGCCAAATAGAAAGGTTTGTTGAAGAGGAATAGTTTCGCAACACAACAGTAATATACACAGTGCTTATATGTATGTAAATGCAATGTGCTTACTCTACTATTCTAGCTAAACCTTCAATGGAGTGGCCTCCACTATTAAAGTAGAGGAGGGAATCAGCTAATATTGTTTCAGGCTTACCCTGTAAATGCTATCAAAAGTTAACAGACAATATCATTGAATCTTGTTGGTTTATCCTGGGGGAAAATACTTGTACCATACTTGCCAACCTCAAGATGAAAGAGGACAAATGCATGTGGACTCACCACTTTTCTTCTTCTACTTGCACTCCTACGGACTGGAACTTACTGGGTGCTTTATTTTCCCCTGTTTTGTCAGGTTCTTCAGCATCATCCACCTAAAGAAATAATCAAATACGTAGAGGTGCTCCATTTTATTTATCTCACTTGAAAAACAAATGTCACATCTCACTAGAAACCTCTGTACTCTACTAGAATGTTTTGTGATTTGTAACCATTTTCTTCAATATTTTTGCATTTAATGAGAGCCATTACTACATTATTATAGCATGCACTTTGACTCTGCTGATCTTCATAAAATGCAATTTTAGTCACTTAAAATTTACCTAATAAATGTTTGTGATTCCTCCATAGATTTGTATGTACTCACCTGTGAGCACTATGTTAGAAGGGAACACTACATGGGACTATGTTCTTAGAAGTTTTGAATTTGCAGATAACAAAATACAAAAGAAAGGAGAAAATTAATTGATTGTAGTCAGAATTATTGATTTTGGGAGATTTAGGTCTTTACCTCATTAAGATAAACCGTAGAATATCTTCACTCCCCCCTTAAATGTTTCCATTTTAAAATGTATAGTTCCAGGGGTATTAAGTACATTCACATTGTTGTGCTGACATCACCACCATCCATCTCTCTAATTTTTGCATCATCTTATACTGAAACTCTATACCCCCATAGGTTCCTCGATTAGGAAACTTAATTCTCAAAATAATCCTATGAGGGATAGAGGAGGAAACAGGCTCAGGAAGATGAAGTAATTTGCCTAGGATGACACACAGGACCGACCTCTGCTCTTCCCTATTCCAAATCCTTCGGTGTTGGGAGGGTAATTAGCTTCTAGGAAGATGTGGAGGGCATGGTGGTGGAGACTTTGGGCCACAGCCTTCTGCTGTGCCATTTAATTCCAAGCACCAGGGCTAGGAGTTCTTTTAGGAAACTTGACAACTTGTGTTATGGTAACCTGCAGGTTATAAAAAGCATTTGACTCATCACTATTAGAGAAAGTTTAATTACCCTTTAAAAGTGGACTCTGCAGAAAGGGCTGTGAAAATACATCATTGTTGTGAAAAATGTACCCCGCACCTGGCTTTTAGCTGTGCCCTATGTTGGTTCAGTGTGGATAGATTTATTGGACACCACGTCAGGAAGTTATTATTCAAAAGGGCACCTGCACTACAAAACCGGGGGAAAAGAATGACTCTTCTCCATTGATAAAAGGGTAAGCCAAGCTGAACAGATGGGAAAAACAAGAATTAGTTTGATGTTATCTTTGAGGAGCAGAAAATAGTGAGCTGAACTGACAGCCCTGATGAGTTTTCTACCATTTTTATGAGATGCTTGATTAAATGGCCAATGATTATGCTGGAACTGCTGTGCATTCTTTCCTCTTGATGCTGTGATGTGAGTAACTGCTTTCCACACCACCAGGCTCTTTGGTCTTGCTCTCCCTCCCTCCCATATCTATGAGGAGGGACTCACATTTTTGTTCTCATCTGGTTACTCAAGGGTGTTGAACGTACTGTAACACAACCCGATAACCCAGGTTATTCTTGAATGTCCACTCCTTTGTTGAGAATCAAAATGTGCATTAGGAATTGAGGGCCCTTTGTGTTTGACTGTGTTCATGTTTGTTTAGTTACCCTACAGTTTGAGTCACACATTCAATTTAAAGAACAAAAACAATAGCTGCTAATATCTAAAGACATAATGCCTTCATAATTTTGTTTCATCACGTTTAACAATTTAGGGAGTCCAGAGCCAATAATTTGAAAATCTGGTCCTAGACCAGTGATGGCGAACCTATGACACGTGTGTCAGAGGTGACACGTGAACTCATTTTTTTGGTTGATTTTTCTTTGTTAAATGGCATTTAAATATATAAAATAAATATCAAAAATGTAAATCTTTGTTTTACTATGGTTGCAAATATCAAAAAATGTCTATATGTGACACGGCACCAGAGTTAAGTTAGGGTTTTTCAAAATGCTGACACACCGAGCTCAAAAAGTTCGCCATCACTGTCCTAGACACAGCTATGTCATCCAAAATGGCAAGACCACAAATCTGGGAAAATATAAGTTACATTTCTTAGTTTTGGGTTCCTAATTCGAAGGTCGGAAAGGGAGGCTGTTACCTGTATCCCAATTGACAGGCATCGATTTTTCTTAAAGTGATCCTTCTTCCTGTCCTCTGTAGTGATGGTGGCTATGGTGGTCGTGGTGGTGATGGTGGCAGGGTTGTTGCCCATGTGTTGACTTGCAGGGCCATGGATCTGGGCATTGGCGGCTTCGATGGCGGCTGTCAGAGCCTTCATACTGTCCAGGCTCTCCGTGGAGTTGCTCAGTCCAGACTGGCTGATAATATCTCCTCGCTGGCCCTGTCCGTCCATGTAGGCATCCTGGGCAGACTCTGTGCTACTCTGGGCTGTGATAGAAATGAAAGGTTTCGTGGTAGTTCTGGGTGGGACTGGAGGTGGTGTCTTCTTATATGTTGTAATGCAAGATGACACTGGAAGACAGTGAAAACAAAGACACTGTGATTTCTGCATGGGTTTTAATTTCTGATATTGTAACTGACATCCATTGGAAACACACTAAGACACTTAACAAGAACACAAGTCCATTGACAGACTAAGTGAGATTCCTGGTTGGGCCCTTAGGGCCTTTCATGAGGTGACACCCCTACAAAACTGAGGGGACAAAAGACCGAAAAACACCAACCTCTGAGATGGAAGTTTCTGAAATGGAAATTAATATGAGTCAACATAAAGTAGACATGATTAGCCATCTGTAGAAATCTTCTCAGGCAACAGTGCACCCTGAGAGATAATATATGCACATAGATAAGGCCAGGGTGGTCTCCACCTTCTCAGGAAAATATTAAATATAAGTAATATTAAACCAAGTAACTCGTTAAAGAAGATTCTGATGGTTGATAATAAACATTGGGAAAAAAAGGAAAGCATAGAGATTGTAAGCATGTAAAATCTTAAAAACAGTATGAGGTGCCTGGGTTGGGGGGGGTGGGGTGGGATATACAGCATATTATCATAGGTTCCTGCAATTTGCTTTTATCAACATCAGTCTTTCTTTCTCTTTCTTTCTTTCTTTCTTTCTTTCTTTCTTTCTTTCTTTCTTTCTTTCTTTCTTAATATATTTCTTTATTGATTTCAGAGAGGAAGGGAGAAGGAGAGAGAGATAGAAACATCAATGATGAGAGAGAATCATTGATCGGCTGCCTCCTGCACACCCCCCATCGGGGATCGAGCCCGCAACCCAGGCATGTGCCCTTGGCCAGAATCGAACCTGGGACCCATCGGTCTGCAGACTGACGCTCTATCCGCTGAGACAAGCCGGCTAGGGCCATCAGTCTTTCTTTTTCCTTTTCCTTTTCCTTTTCCTTTTCCTTTTCCTTTTCCTTTTCCTTTTCCTTTTCCCCTTCTCCTTCTCCTTCTCCTTCTCCTTTTCCTTCTCCTTCTCCTTCTCCTTCTCCTCCTCCTTCTCTTCCTCCTCCTCCTCCTCCTCCTCCTCCTCCTCCTCCTCCTCCTCCTCCTCCTCCTCCTTCTTCTTCTTCTTCTCCCCCCCCCTCCTCCTCCTCCTTCTTTTCTCTCTCTCTCTCTCTCTCTCTCTCTCTCTCTCTCTCTCTCTCTCTCTCTCTCCTTTCTGTCTCTTTCTCTCTTTCTGGATAGAACTACATGAACTTTTGTTCTGATTTTTTTTGGTGGTTGTTTCTGAGCAGAACTACCTCTTGAGAGGCAATACACTGCACCAAAGTCTCCTTTAGTTGTAAAATAAATGTACACACTAGTTTCTAAATCAGTCTCTGTGTGTCTGTTTGAGCCTACTCCCTGATGTGCTGTCCTTCAGGGCGACTTGATCACCTCAGGGCCTGCACCTGCGCAGTGAGGTGTCTGTGGACCTGGTGAGTTAGCTGAGGTCCTCCTGAGGCTCCAGCTGAAGCCGGCTCCAGCCCTCTCTCCAACTATCTAATTCAGCAGTTCTCAACCTGTGGGTCATGATCCCTTTGGCGGTCGAACGATCCTTTCACAGGGGTCGCCTAAGACCATCCTGCATATCAGATATTTACATTACGATTCATAATGGTAGCAACATTACAGTTATGAAGTAGCGACGAAAATAATTTTATGGTTGGGTCACAACATGAGGAACTGTATTTAAAGGGCCAGAAGGTTGAGAACCACTGATCTAATTGTAACGCTGAGGGTCTTGAAGAAGCTTTACACACTGGCTTTCAGCTTTCCACTTGTGTAGCACGATATAGGAAAATGCAGATCAAAATGAGTTATTAAGTGTCCAAATGGAAACTCCTTGCCAGTGAACAATTTATCAGCTTTCTACAGGCTTTTGTCTTTCATTTAAGATTATTGCATAAAACATACAGCTTTGCATGGGAACAGAGCTCAACAATCAGCAGTCCTGAGAGGCAATGTGTCCAGTGGAGACTCACAGAGCCTGCAAGGTGCAGAGCCAGGAGCAGAACCAGTCTGGTCTCAGGTTCCCCTCCGGGCCACAGTGAAGCTTCTGGCCCAGTAACGCAGGCATGAGCATTGCCAGTATCCCACCTCACCCACTGTAGTTCCATGCACTGTCACTACCGGGGAACTACCTTGTGCTCCCTAGGAGGGTCTGAACAGGATAACCCTACTCAGGGTAATGCTAAGACCAGAGCGGGTGAGAGGAGGAGTGACCATAACTAGGATAGAATCTGCCTATTTGAACCAAATGAGATTAGATCAACTTTATTACTTTTCCTACAATAAATCTTTACAATATGAACTCATTATTTTCTTAAAAATGGATTCCCAGGACATTTGGTCCACTCATATTCCAAAGAAACTCAATCCACATTTCAACATCAAATGTCTGATCTTTTGAATGATTTACTGCTTGTGGTTAACTACCCCAATTTTCTCCTTTAATGTAGACGGTCAAAACCGGACAAAGCAGACAAATACAGAATCGTTTCCTTTGCTGTGATGTGCAATAAAAAGTCTGCCCCGATGTGCTGAGTGTGATATGGAGGTGGAGGGGCACCTTATTTCCAGGGTAAAGACTGACTGGGCTTGGAGCCACTCGCTAGGGCCCATTGCAACTTGGTGGCATCTGAGGGCTGTTGTCGGCTCCTCTTCGATATCCATAGGGATAACTCTGGCTGCTGAAGGGAACCAAAATTTTGACTCCAGAAAACTGCTTTTAGGGATATTGATCTTAAGCTGTTTACTAAGAAACAAAAATCTCAGAAAGAACCTTTGCTCTCCCCTCCACTCCCCCTCTCCCTCTTTCCTGCCCAAGAGATGCAGACTGAGAAACTGCTTTGGGAAGGGAGCTTTGGCTTAATCACTGTAAGAATCTTCACCCTAGCAGGAAGACTCCATGCCTCTCAGCTAGATACCCATTGTTTCTGAGTTGCCCAGCAAGAATTTGCCTGCTCTATAAGTTCGCCTCCTCCTCAACTACCTGTAAATCACCCATTCTCACTTCTGACATCTAGTCCCCTGTTGCCCCCTCCCCTTTCTCCTCGGTTCAGAAATGTCTTATATACCCAATGTTGCCTCATGGTCTTCATGCCTATGTGCATTCTCCATTCGCATGTATTAAAACTTTGATTTTCGACTGTTATTCTATCTCTATTAATTTGATTGTTAGCCCAGCCAAAGAGTGGGAGAAAAAAGTATTCATATATTTTTTAGCCCCCACAGTACGTTGATCACTGGGGACTTCCAGAGAGCAGCAGCAATGCCACAAGTTCACCATGGCTAGATTGGACAGGGAGAGTTCTGGGGACATGTCTTCCCTAACAGGCTGGCCGAGCCCCAGTGCCTGAAGGAAGTAAGAATTTAAGATTGTCCCACTTAGAATAAGGGAGCTGAATAGAGGACAGGACTCATCGGCTGTGTTTTTATCCCACGGGCTTTGTGATGAGGTTTTACTGTGGTGTGGAGCTTGTCGCAATGCTACCCCAGGAATTACAGTCAGGCACCATCTGTCAGTCATCAAATAGGTATTGGGAGTTCAAATCTCCAAGACTGCCGTTTGAAGTAGAAGAAAGAAGATCCAACACGCAGCTCACAATTCTCACAATTCCCTTCTTTCTTGTGCCCCAAATCTTTTGCATTCAAGGTTGCTCTAGAACTCATACGACTAAATCCCCCAATTTTCCCCAGCATTACTCTTTCCTAGCTTTTCAGACTAAGCCCTAAACCCTCCTTCTGTCCTAAGTTTTTGTTTTTTTTTTCATTCTACTCTCATGATTTAATAACACGAATGACTTAGAATCCATTGAGATCTGAGAGCCAGGAAGAGTATGGTAGAGGAGGGTATTAAAAAACTGTGGTACATCTGTACAATGGAATACTTCGCTGCTATAAAAAAGAAGGAACTCTTACCGTTTGCAATAGCATGGATGGAACTGGACAGCATTATGCTAAGCGAAATAAGCCAGTCGGAGAAAGATAAATATCACATGGTCTCCCTCATTTGTGGAATATAATGAACAACATAAACTGATGAACAAAAATATTTTAGAAAATAATAAAAGTAATCCTGATATTTTCAGATTTTTAATATTTCCTACAACTTTTGTGATATACTATGTTAGCACAGTTCTGGTAATATTATTATATTTAAAATATTAATGTTTATTGCACATAATATTATATTTAAATTGTTTTTCTTGAAATATTAATGTTTATTGCATGTAAATGACTAATTATTTTGTATCTACAATCTGGTAAAAAGATTTATTTTGTATATTGTAAACAACAAAAAAAGAGCCCTAGCTTGTTTGGCTCAGTGGATAGAGCGTTGGCCTGTGGACTGAAGAATCCCTGGTTTGATTCCTGTCAAGGGCACATGCCCGGGTTGCAGGCTCTATCCCCAGTGGGGGGCATGCAGGAGGCAGCCAATCAATGATTCTCTATCATTAATGTTTCTGTCCCTCTCCCTTCCTCTCTGAAATCAATAAAAATATATATATTTTTAAAAAGAGCACACATAATTCAGGTGGCCATAAAGCAGATGTAGGATCAAACCCACTTTCTGCATCTTCTTATTAAGGGGTCTCACTGTCTAAGCTAATAGGTCAGATACTATAAAGCTATGTTGAAGAATTATTTAGCAGTTCTTGGTTACTAAATTTTAGAAAGTCTTTCGAACCTAAGAACAAGCCCATAAGAGTTGATTGTGCACATCTCTTCCCAAATCTGTGTTCAGTGACATTTCATTAATAGCTTGAAACTGAACTTGGTCTGAGTGTTTACGCCATGGAAACTGGCAGATACTATAAATCAGTAGTTGTCCCCTGGAGAGCCTGTTGTTAAGCATTTCCAGCACATCTCAGTGCATAGCGGTTCTATTTAAAATGTGGTCCACAAATAGGTATCGATTCACAAACTATTTGATGAGTGCATGGTGAGATACACCATGAAAATTGAAAGTAAGCTTTTAGAAACTTTTCTAACAGTTCTACAGAGTAGTTTGTCAGTTGATTCTAATGAAAACTGCTCGTTTTTGTGTGCCTTTTTAAAAAATTTCCTTTTCCTAGTAATTCATTTTCATTGCATTTTACCAAAGTATTGTTCTGCAACAGATTGGACATCAAACAAACAAACAAACAAACTGGTCTATCACTGGAGATAGTCTGAGAAGCATCTGGATAGTTGGAGAAGCACAGGAAACATTTCAAATCCAGTGGACAGGGCAGAGGTAGTGCATGTGAGATTAAGGACATATTAGTGAAGTAACTTGAAACTACAGGGAACTTTAGAAAGCAAAAGGACATAAAAAAGCCAAGAAAAATGTGGAAGGATCTAAACTTGGGACGTAAAGAGTTTCCTGCACAATTACAGGATGGACTTGTGGTTTTAATGTCAGGCAAGTTGCTTATTTATAATGTGTATGAAAAGGGGCCACATACTCAACCTGACAAACTCAGGAAAGGCCTGTGTGATGGCCTTACAATCTCAGAAACCTAAAGAAACCACATAAGATGGTCTGAGATTAAAACTTTCTGACCAAGCAGTTTAGTCATGTCCTAGGCTAGAATTTTCCCTGACAAAGGTCAATCTTCACTTTAACTAAGCCTGGGTATTGTCTTTTTGCATCTAGGATAACATACCTGATAAAATTGCCTTTGCAAAAACAAAGTAATTTCCCTTTTTCCAGACCTCTCAAAGCACAGGTACCACAGCAGAGTAGAGACCACAAATCCCCTCATTGTCATTGTTATCATGGTAGTTGTTGGCTGTTCACTATCCAGTCTGAGGACAGAACGGCTAACAGAGAAGTTCACGACTGCTGCTTCCCGTCAACAGGCCCAAAGTGCTGGCCTTACAGTGAATTGTGGAGGGTGTGGCCTCCATGGTGGTTTATTACACAGGCTGGACTTCCCCACCTGATGCCAATCAGTGGCCTGGCCTGAGTCCTTCACAGGATAAAAGCACAAATCCAGGTGTAAACAAAGATGATGAGATGGAGAATTCCTCCATACCCCTCGGTGGGCCATTAGATCCACCTCAGCACCAGAGAGTGTCCCGTACTCTAACACACACTGCGCTAAAAATCCAATAGACCTGGTCTAATGGCAGAGGACGAGCTCACTGCCCCCATTGTTGGATGGTAAGACTGAGGCTCACAGCAGGTTAAGTTATGCAGCTACTAAGTGGTACAATTAGCATACTCAGGGCTCCAAATCGCATCTCTTTTCCTTCCCCCAAACCACCTGTATTCATCCCCCTATGAAACTATCCGTTTCAACACCTGGTCCAGTGAAGCCTGATGCCTTCCATCAAAAACTGCCAGGAAACTGCTCCTGGCACAATCCTTTGTGCCCTGCAGGAACCTGACAAAGGTTTGGAGAGTGAATGAATTTGGAGGGGTCAACAAGGGTGTACCAGCTACAACTTTAAAAACACTGCAAAAAGGGGAGAAATTCCACACACACACACACACACACACACACACACACAAATACACACACAAATACACATGGAAAAAATCACTCCTGCGTTTCAAAATATTTACAGCATAACATGGACAGGCCACCCAAAGTGTGGTGGTCAGTGGTCGCGGCCCTGCCGGCGTCATGGTGAGAAGGCAGAGGGCTGAGGCGTGGGGGGCTGGGCTTCTGGGACAGGAGCAGGGCTTCCCCTCGCCTTCTCTCCTGGTTAGTTTTGGCTCAAGGGACGTAGCCATGAGAACGATTTCCACTCAAGTCATCCTCCTCGGAAACCACAGAGACTAGCTAACCTTTTCTCCATGGGAGCCGAAAAAAAGCACGCTTGTGTGAGCGTGCAGGGGGAGGACAGGGAATGTGGACAGAGAGGGAGGGGTGGTGGAATAACTCTTGTAGTCATAAGACTTGCCAGTTGGTAGTTACTAGTATTCCAGACACTTCCTAATGCCAGACAAATGCCCCAAGCCCGGGCATGTCTGGCTCAGAGATCTGTTCAGCTGATAGCAGCCGTTTCTTGTGGGGAGAACAGATCTTTCAGGGAGCAGTGCTCTGAGGCTAATCAAACACAACATTGTTCTCAGAAGGGAGACTGGAAAGGTTTGTTTCAGTCACTTTTTTTTTTAAGAGGCACTCAAGTTGTTTTAACAAGTTGCTACAAAACGTGGGCTTCCTGAGGTGAGCCGGTGGCTCACAGTGCCTGTACTGTACCAAAATCCAGAGAGGGAGGGATCAGAAAGTTAGTCATAAAAAGGGGGGGGGGGGAAAGAGCCCCAGGCACAAGGCGTAGCCACTCCTCTGTTAGAACCACAATCAAACAAGGCTCAGGCAATCCTCGCAGCTGCTCTCCAAATGTCAGCGCCAGCCGTCAACACAGCTTGAAAGCCACCCAGCTGAAGGACTTTGTGCTGTACCTTCTCGCCCACATTTTCCCCGAGCACTCCCAGGAACCTGGCAACAGGTAACGTGGCAACCTTTGCTTTATAAAATGGCAAGTGGCATAATTTCAGAGAAAAATGGATGTTTTTCAAGTCAGCTGTGTCTCCCGCACCAACCCCATCCCCAACCCCCCTCCCTCCCAACCGAAAGTCTGGGAAAACAAAGTAGTACTTTGGGACTGGCAACCGTACTCTCTAGTGTCCCCTGGTGGCCAAGATTGGAACATCACTGATGTACCGTGAAAGCTGCAGCTCTGCTCCAAGGTAAGTCACGCTGTAGGAAGGGGTGGACACTTTTGCAGGACTTGTCTTCCAAAAAAACATACAGAGTGGAAGTTAAGACTCAGAATGTCTTGATTTTTAATTTATTGCTTTAACAAAAATTTTACTTTAGCTGCAAGGTAAGATCTCTGAGTCGAGGTTGCAGAATTTAAAAAATTATATATATTTTATTATTTTATTGATTTCAGAGATGAAGAGAGAGAGAGAGAGAGAGAGAGAGAGAGAGAGAGAGAGAGAGAGAGAGAGAAACATCAATGATGAATCATTGATAGGCTGCCTCCTCCATGCCCACACGGCATCAAGCCTGCAACCAGGCATGTGCCCTGACTGGGAATCAAACCATGACTTCCTGGTTCATAGGTCAACACTCAACCACTGAGCCATGCTGGCCAGGTCAGATTTATTATTATTATTTTTTAAGCAGTAGCCAGTGTAACATTTTTTTGTTAAGATGGAAAGTTGAAAAGCAAGAACTGCTGTAGCCTTTGGTCTGATGGATGGCAATGAGGATTCCCTCTGGGTGAGACATGCATTTTCCATTTTAATCCAAATTTGTATGTTGACGGCAGAAAACCTTTCTGGCAGGAGCATTTGTAATTCACTTTGCTGGCTTCCCCATTTGTCTATTTGCAAGGATTACTTAGGACTTCCAGACTGAAGGCCCAGCCTCCCAGAGAGCAGGCCTCGCAGCCTCACCTGAGTGCTTTGATCTCTGTGTGGGGCAGACACCCACAGAAATGCCCAGGGCGATGCTTTGCACCAGTCTCCTTCCCCAGGTTCTCCTTCCTCTGCTCCGTCTCCTTCGATTGGGAGGCTGGACCACAGTTGTGAGCTGCTGGTGCTTCCGGCCAGTTGCAAGGGCAGCCGTTCTTCCTCCCTCTCTGGAAATGTTAACTGGAACCTAAGAAAGAGGCTCAGATCAAAGGAGCTGTTCTCTTCAAAAGTTCCATTAATTAACTAAATTAAAGGAAGTTAAATGCTGTTTGGAGGAAAGTCATTTTAGAAGGCCCCCGTCCAGGGGCTGAGGTCTCAGACTTGTAATGTGGACTTTTAATGAAGTTTGGCAACAAGTTAAATAGTATTAGAAATTGAGGGTTACCATATGTAAAGCCAGTTGTTGCCTGAAATCAATCATTTCAAAGGAGCATCTTGAAAGTAGACATTTGGCTAGAATTTCATACTAAAGATGAAAAACCCAGGGCTCTGAGTAAGAGTCATTTGCCCAGTAGCTAAGGTGAGTCACAGCCTCTGAGAACTAGGCACACATGTTGAAGTCAGGATGTCGAAAACACGGGGCTTACTAATGTGCAAGGCAGGGCTGTTGCTTCCAGTAGTCTCTTTCACGGCTCATTTTCCCGGCCTTTTCAACAGGTGCGATTGAGTCATCCAGGCACACAAGTGACTGTGCTGGCAGTAGCATCTGTTGGGATTGAATTTCCATTTGTTCCATTACTTTATGAAGTGATTTCTACCACTGAATCAGATATGTCACTTCCTCTAGGATTTAGGGATTTTTTTTCCTTGTTTGTAACATGATGTGTCTTTCAAAGTTTGTCACAGCAAGGTCTGCAGGCCTTCCTGGGTTGAATGGACCGTTTACAGGAGGGGAAGATCCAGGGCCCAAGGTCAGGGTTACCAAATTATGTAAGGTTTCCTGTTTGTTCCAACTCCTCAGGTGAGGGTAGACCGAGTTTTGTTGAGAGACAGCATGCCGAGGAGGCTGGGGTAAGGGGAGTGCCAGAGCAGGGAAGGACATTTTTCTTTTAAGCTTCTCATCAACAAGCTTTCATTCTTCTCAGATGTCACTTCTCAGAAATACGCTCCCGTATTCTCTTCTGTGAATTCCCACCCCCGACCCCCCCACCAGACCGAGAGAAAGGAGTTAACTAGGGATGTAAGAATCACAAGGTCAGCATTGTTGTCTGTTTTATTCATAATATGACCACAGTCCTTAGAACGTGTGTGGCACATAGTAGTGCCGTGTGTGGAAAATACTTGTTACACGAAGGAATGAACAGGAATGTGAAGAGACTTCTTGGCAAAAAGAAAAAGGGACCAACAAGGAGGTCACCAGGGCTCAAGTCAAGTGAATACTCACCAAAGCTATTCTCAGTGATCTTGGATGTTGTAATATAATCTCCTGTCACCAATGCCCGCTTCTGTTTTGCCATTGGCCAAATGCGATGGTGGCTGGCCAGCCCTTGACATGGAGTTAGTATGGGAAAAATCAATCTATTACCAGTGGAAACCGGTTGTTCCTATGGGGTATCCACCTAATTTCCTCTGTCCTCTCTGGTTGGCTTTGTCTGTAGGCACTGAGCGGATGGCTGTGTGAGGGGTCCCTGATGCTAACTGCCCGCATCCCGTGCAGCTGCCCTTCTTCGCCTCAGTTCCTTTCACTCCTCATTATTCTGTGGCTGCTTCTGTGCTCTCCTGCTCGCACAAGGTGCGTATCTGAGAGCCAGGGAACTTTCTTTGCCTCTGGTCTTCTTTCATGAGAATTTGTACTACCTGCACCATGGAACCTGGAGCCCGGAGTACAAGGAAGAACCTGGAGTGGAATCGGACAACTAAACAGGACTCTCCTGCCATGTAGCTGTGTGTCTGGTAAACAAAATAGAACTCAAGAGTACCTGCCCCAAGGCTACATATGGGATAATGGTTGGTTCTAGATGGGAGCAAGGTATTGGGCATATGTTGCCAACCTGTCTCCCTGGAGAAGGTGAGATAGACAAGCAGACAGAATGACCCGTGTACACACCAGGGTAGGTCGTATCTAATGAGAGTCCAGTTAGGCTGAGTCCAAACTAAAGCTTCAGGCTGGATTTATCAGTAACCTCTGCTCACTGGCAAGCTTTCTGGGCTTTGGAAAGGAGGCAGGCCTATTAAGCCAGCCCCCTGCTGCTGCCCTGTGGACAGAGGGCCGGGAGGGAAGGCTGGACCTGGAACAGAAGTTTTTGCACAAGTCAAACTCAAATCCCCAAACCTGGGAAAACAGGATGTGTGGGGAAGTAAAGAAGAAAGAAAATGCATCCACCATTCCTTCCTGTTGGTTTCAGCATGATGAGGAATAATTACCTGGGTCTGGAGAGCAGGGCCTGTGGGAGGCCACAGGAGGCCCTGGGCTGGGCAGTTAGGCAGTTAATTATTCATCCTACTCCTTTCCTCTTTCCTCCCTGAAACCCATCCTTTAAAAGTTAAAACAGGAAAAACTCTCTGGGTTAGCCTGTGGAAAACTGTTTGCTCTGCTCTTTACTGACTCTCAAGTAACAGAATCAGCACTTTAAAATGACACCTCGTTATCCAACTGTGTCACCGGCTGATGACACAGATCCAGAGAAGAACCTGTCCAGGTGCCCGTGGGGCTCTCTGTCCGCATCACGAGTTCAGCCCTCACACGATTACAGTTTGAGTGCAAAGGGCCACTGAAAGGCGGCACTGAAAATTCCACTTTACAGCTGGGTTTTTATCATTGGCCGAAATTAAATAAAAATAACCCAGGACACTGGTGTGGCCAGTACTAAAGTTTGGATCAATTCACTCTGCCCACCTCCCACCATCATCCTCATTCCCTGAATGTAATAAACCGGGTGCATCCACAGCCCCAATTCCCCACCTGACAAGGAGGTTGGAGAGTTTGGTTGTCCATGTTCTCCAGGGTGGAGTCTGGTTGGAACTGGGTACTTCCCATCTAAGCCTCTTAAGATGACCTTTGAACCCTTGTGAGAACAATGTCTGAGTCCCAAAGGCAGTATTGAATATCTGTTGGTCCGATGTGCTTGGAATTCAGAACTTTCGGGGCTGTAGAAAGCTAATAGACATGACACACCAAGGGGGGGGGGGCAGGGGGAACACCCCTTAATCTCGTATTCTAAGCCAGCGGTCGCCAACTGGTGGTCTGTGGACCACTGGTGGTCCGTGAGGTCTGAATGGTTGGCGACCGCTGCTTTAAGGAAACCTTTGGAGCAGTGGTCGCCAACCGGTGCCTGCAGGAGACAGTAGGGCATTCACATTGCAAGTAGTTCCAGGGTCAGGTTTGGGGCAATGGCTTTCAGAATTGCAGGTGAAGGAATAACATCCACCTAGCCCTTCAGATGCCTTAGAGCAGTTCCCTTCTAGGGCTCCTTCAGAGGCAGCTCTGGTCCTGGATGGAGCCCTGTTCCAACCAAGCCCACACAGAGGGTGGCAGATGGCGCTGGACTTGGCATTGTGGGTGGGCAAGGTTTCTGTAACTTTAAGGAAAAGAGGAATCTAAGATCAGATCTCATAATCCTTCTCACATGTCTCTTTCCTTGACCTCATTGGAATTTTGGATGTTTATTGGTTTATCCCTATCAGAAACATCCACTATGGTTTTTGTTATAACGGTCATCGGAGCACTAGCGGGGAATTTTAACTGGCCTCTTCCCACAGAGTGGACCCCTCTCTATACAAATTAGAGAACGGGGTAGTGTGATGTGTTCTTAGAAACACTTCATATTTGCAAGGTTGTGTGCATGTGTTTGAACACACCCTTTCCATCAGTCTCTTCTTCATTCTTATTCCCTATCCTCAAGCTATAGTCTGACTTGACAGTGCAGTCCATAAATCAACATTCTTTCCTTGGCCACCATAATTTGCAGTGACAGGAGGGTGGCCCATGCTAGGTCCAGGCTGGGCACAGCACTAACCTGACGTAGCTCAGGACACTCACCTAAAAGTTTATCTGCAGTGGTACTCATCACTCATTAGCATATTGCCTACAGACAGTTTGAACATCACTTTCAAAACACACCCATAGCCCGAATTAAAGAATAAACTAAGAATAAGATATAAGTAGACTGAGCACTAGCAATTTTTATTACCTAAAGCAAGCCAGGCACTGTCTCCGGGTGTGGGTGACATTCTACTTCCCAAAAGGAACCATAGAAAGTAAAGGCAATACAAGGTGAGTATTTTGGATTTTTGCTGTCAGAGGTGAAAGATTTTAAGTACCACCTCTTTGAAAAAGCAACTATAACCCCTGCAAATGTACCAAGTCAGCATATGTTAAAATATTCTGCGTCGTATGTTTGGGACTGAGGTTGGAAATTTATGCTCATGTTTTGGGGTTGGGTTATGATTGTGATTGTGATTCATAATCATGATTGTGATAGGACTGCTTAAGTGCAGGAATGCGGAAAGACTAGACTAGGAATCAAAATGAACTACCAATCAAGGGTGGGGAGCTGGATCACCAGGAAGGGAGGCACGTGATGGCGCAGCTCAAAGGTTCGGCCTGTTTGCAGTTGCTGATAACCTTGTCAGGTCTCCAGATACAGGCAAGTCTTGTCACCCTGCAGCACCTGGCTGAGAAGTAATAAAAAACAGTTGCCTTATCTTCTAAGGATGGAATTAACCCAACCGCAGCCCATGGTAATTAGAGTAAACTGAAATTGCTTGCCATTTACCAAAAAAGGGGGAGGGAAAAAGAAAGGAAAAAGGCTTTAAGCAGGAAATTGTGTTTGTCGCCTTCTCTCTCTGGATTTTTTTTAAAAAGTGAGCAAAACAGCCAGAAGTTTTGCAAGGAGTGAGAAAAACAGCCCGCCCGGCTGCCCTCTCCCCGGGGGACCGGGCTGCTGACAGCTCAGTCCCACGTGATGGTCTAGAAAAGCTCAGGCTGACGAAAATCCAAGAAAGCTTCTTAGGAGCTTTCCTTCTAAATGTAAATGACTGACTCAGTGCTTTGCTAAGCGGGGAAGGAAGTCACCATCCCACCGAGTGACTCATTCCGGGCTGATAGTTCAGGCCGTTGGAGAAAAAATTTTCGCAAAAGCAGCAACAAATCTGCTTTAAATACTAGCACAGTAAGGAAATTCCTCTCTCTCGGGCTGAATGCCATCCACACAAAAGAGCTCCTGTTGACATCTCATTTACAATCTCCCCCAGGACACAGACAAGACCATTTCAATAACCCCGGCTCAGAAACACCCATTGTTCCAAATCTTCAACTAGCGACGGGCTACCAGCACTCCCTATTGTTGTGTAAAAGAAAGGATTTAGAAGGAGAAGGGTGGGCACTGTGGAAGCTCTGAACAGAGGAAGGAAAAAACTCCCTTTGACCCAGTGCTGTCAGAGGGCGTGCGTGAAGAATAAAGTTAATGGATTTCCATTTTTTTAAGAAGTGCATAAGCAATGTCTGTGATGTCCCTGCAACTAGTGATTGGGAATTTTAAATTTGATGCCAATACTATGTGCTCTGAAGCTCACTCCTGCCAACATGCTAGTAAACCAAAAGCCAAAATACTCAGCCTCACAAAAGCCCTGAGAGCAGGCCGAGCGAAAGCCCAGGTGAGTCTTTGATCTGGGCTGTTTCTCCGGAATTTCTAGCTTGACTGTCCTTTCCGAGGAGAATTTTCGGGCTCAGCCTTAGAGCCCACACCTGTCCATAAGGATTTCGTCCTTCCCATCTCCACCAATTTGCTTCTTCTGTTAGACAAGCGTGACCACTTCCTGGAGTTATATAATGTAGTCTTTAGGTGGTTTTTCTCCAGATGTGCCACAAATGAAGGGGCACATTTGTGTTTACCAAAAATGGGCATTTCTCAAATGCTCAGGGTCTTTGACCTCCTAATACATCTTTTAGTTAATGTTCTCCTTCTTGGCAAATGACCCCTTTGTCCAGAATTTAAGCCAAAATTCTGAGCAGTATCTCTACTTTCTTTGGTTCTTTCTCTCCTAGCTCTTAAATCCCTCTGGAATCATTCCACATCGTTCTAGCCACCTTTCTGCTTCCTTAAGTCCTATTATCTCCTTGCTGGAGGATCACAGAGACTTCCTAATTCAAGGTTTCTCAAACTGCTAGTTGTGACTTAATAATGGGTCCTGGGATAATTGAGGTGGGTTATGCAGTTTCACCATTCAAAGAGTGAAATAGATTAGAAAATGCCATTAGAAAATGCACCCAACAAAGAAGAAGTATTGTTTTGCAAAGCGTGCTTCAGTTTGTGTGTGTGTCCAGATGTGTGTGCATTCTGCAGTTTGTCTGTCAAAATATTTTGAGCGATACTTTCCTAATTGGTCTCCCTGGGTCTGTCTCGTCCCTGCTTCCACACTGTTGTACACACTTAAGGCAAGAGTTGGAGATACGAAACAGACCCTGTCACTGTCCAGCTGACAGATCTACCCTCAGGGTAAAGTCTCAAATCTAAGGCTTTGGAGATTCTGAATAGCTTGCTTCCTGCTCACCTTCGTGGTCTCAGAACTCTACATGCTCCTGCCCACTTTTACTTTTAGTTGTTAAGACCATCAAGCTCCATTTGTAAATGGAGTAAGTCCTTTCTTCCTCTTTCTCCTTCAGGTATCAGCTTAGGTGTCACCTCTTCCAGGCAGACTTCTGGAATGTCCTTCCAAATGCCTCTACTAGACCTCATTGGAATACAGCGCTTTTATTTGACAGAGCACTTACTACATTGTAATTATCTTCTCAATTCCCTACTAGACCGGAAGCTCCCAATGAGCGTTCAGTAAATATTTTGTTGGGTAATTATTGTGCAGTGAATGGTTCCGTTTACACAGTTTACATTTCCTTTCTCTATATAAATCTGAATAACCATTATAAAGTATCTTATCTCTATTTCTCTACGCGTTTGTTTTTATTATCTTACACTTCAGTATCTCCTGTCCACTTGCTTTTTCAAACACAACCTAATTGATTTAAAAATTCTCTGAACTCTTAGAAATCAGAATAATAAGATTTGGAGGAAGCTGTTGAGCTTCGGGCTGGTCCCTCACGCTCTCTGAATCTCAGATCATTCATGTGCAGAAGGGATCATTGTGCAATGATCTCTAAACTCTCCTCCAGTCTGCCACTCTGAACCTCTGGCTTGAGCTTTCTCTTTTTAAGGCCCAGAAAGGCTAATTGGTTTTTCCCAAGGTTACACAGCTTTTTAGTGCTAAGATATTCTTAGCCTTTCTATAGGTTTTTAACAAGCTGCACACAAGAAACATAACTTTTTCCAGAAACTGGCAGTGCCACTGAATTTGTGGGAAAAATAATCATAAAATTAAATAAAAGAGAACTTAAAAAACACACACAAAAAAACCACACCCAGAATGGATTCCTGCCTAGGCAGGTCCTGACACTTTTTAAAACAGTCTTGCTATTGTCTGTTATTAAATGGAGAGATGTTCAGATTTCCTTTTTAAATTGGAAGTGAAAAATTAAAGAATTCTGTACATCCTGACCCCTTGAAGTGGGGAGGCACAATGGGCAGACACAGTCTTCCCGAAGGTGCCAACAGAAACATCCACATACCTTTCTGAGTGCCGAGGCCCTGGGTCCCTGGCCCGGAACCACTCTCAGCTAAAGCTGTGCCTCACCAAGAAGAGACTTGGCCTCAGTTCATGTAACCCCCCTCCCATCCTTCCCCTGCCAGAAGTCAAGGCCCCGCTTTTCCTCATTTACTTACGTTACAGAGTTTGGGTTGGATGACCTGCTCTGTAAAGCAGAAAGTCAACAGAAAGACACCCCTTTGGGAGAAAAAAAACCTAAAACAGTAATATTACTTTTATTTTTCCTAATGTAAGATGTTGCACCCTATAACTTAAGCCAGTGTTTAATTTGTTGCTTTTTTTTCCCCTCTAAAAAGACCAGCAGTAGTTTGCCTTTGATTGACACAAAATTATAAGAAGAAATGGACTTTGAAGTGCATTCTTACAAAGAAAAAGGAAAGTCACTTACTACTCTAACTCCATATAAAACTACTATGCACATGAGGACCAACTTTGACATCAGATAGTTATAGTCCAGTGATGAGCTTATAGATGACTTTTATTTTATTCTTTAGGCTTCTCTGATTTTTCAATTAGGAAAAATGAACACACATTACTACTCTAATCATAAAAAGGTGCAAACATTAGAATAAAAATTAGATATACTATTATGTTTTCACTGCTATGACAATTGACTAAATTTTATTTTTACCATATATTTTGCTGTATATTTGCCTCTACTTAACATATATATATATATACATATACATATACATATACATATACATATACATATACATATACATATACATATACATATACACTAGTGTGATAGGAAGGGAGAGGGAGAGAGAGAAATATTGATGAGAGAGAAACAGATTGTCTGCCTCCTGCACACCCCTTACTTGGGATGGAACCTGCAGCCTGGGCATGTGCCCTGATAGGGAATCTAACTGGCAACCTCTCATTGCATGGGACGATGCTCAGCCAACTGAACCACACCAGCCAGGGCTAACCATTTGTTTTTGAAGAAAATTTTATGATTGCCAAATTTAAAAAAAAGAAGAATAATGAAAAACTCTTCACATTGTTTGATGTTTCACTCTTTAACCCTTAAGGAACACTAACCCATAAGACACAGACAAACACTGGCATGTGACTCCTTTACCACCTGGCTGTAGCCTATTTCATTTGCCTCTCCTGACATTTTCACACCTAATGACTTATCACTTGGAGAATGCCATCCCTTCCATGCCTTTGTGCCTGTGGGACACCTTGTTTGTTTTCTGATAACCTCCCTCCTTGCCAACAGGAGGACCCCAATGCTGCTGACTTTTGCACGCAGCCATGACTTTTGGGAGATGTGAGCACCTTCCTAGATTTGGAGGCTGAATCTTCATTAGTCTGTAGGACGAAGGGATGAGAAGGGAAGTCTGGTGGGAATGCCTCTGGGCAGGTTTACCTCCCTCAGGGACATCCCTTTCTTCCTCGGAATATTGTCATCAGCAAGAGATACTCTGAACTGTGTGGCTGCCATCTGGGGACCACAAGGAGCATCTGCCTGAGAAGACAAACGCACGCTGATCTTCACAGGTGAAAGACGGCAAGGAGCTGGGTTTGACACATTCGTTGGCTGCCCTTCCAATGGCTGGCTATTTTTTGAAAAAATAAATGCCTTTACCAGCTAAGTCACTTTGGCTTTTTAATGGATATTTTTATTAAGTTTTTAGAGAGAGAGGGAGGGGGAGAGAGAGAGACATGGATTGGTTGCAACCTGGGCATAGGCCCTGACTGGGAATTGAACTGGCGACCTTTTGGTGCACGGGATGACGCTCGACCAACTGAGCCACACTGGCCAGGGCACTTTGGTGTTATTTTTAAAATTTTGTTTATTTGCTTACTTATTTGTTTGGCGAGGCACTTATGTGGTGTCTTTCCATATACTCAGTGTCCTTCTTTTCTTGGAAAACTGTTCATTCATCAAGAGTCACTTAATTTGGTTCCATTAGCATTTCCTGCATATGTTTATTACAGAACTCATCACACTTGGCTGGTTCTGGTCCTATTTACTCTAGTGCTCTCAGTGACCAGAGGCAGATTTTTGTTCACGACTCTATGTACTTGTGGGATTAAATGATTCTATGTGGCAGATTCTATCACACAAGGCAGTGCTTTTCAGCTGCCATGCTGCAAGAATTTTTAAAACATGCAATACCTGACTATTTAGTCAGGGCACTGACCTCTTTTACCTTAAAATGTCAAATAAAACAACGACAACAGCCAACACAACAATAGCCATCTGGTGTGAGTGATTAAAAATTATACGTTTTTGGGGGGTCAGATTGGCAAAAATATAACATATTTGTTGGTGTGCTGCAGAATTTTAGTAATTAGTTCATGTGAGGCGTGAGATGAAAAAGGTTGAAAAGCACTGACCCAAGAGAATGAAAGCGGTCTGGGGAAATTGGGACCGAGCTAGTGGGGAAGAGCAGGGTGGCAGCACATCTCTGATTGCCGATGGCAAGAAAGACTGGAGAAATGTGACCTCCTCACAGCTGTGCCAGGGCTGCCTCTGAACACTACAGAGGCAACACGTGTGAAAGCCCCTTGTAGACTGTGCAGATGTGACAGTCGGACCGGCCCCAGCAGTAGCAGTGCTTGTTGTTTCTTTTTCCGGAGCCAGCTGAGTCATTTTTCCAAACCACAGTTCTTCCGGGAGCAGCATCAATTGACTTGGCCTTTGGTTGATATTGAGTTGGGACTCTGGGAATACTACAAACTATTTTCCAAAATTTGCATAAAATTGCAAATTTTAGGCTAACTGGGAGGGGGAAAGATGCTGTAAAAATTAATTGGACCAAAGGGAATGGTCTCTAATCAAATTGCCAACTCCCGCTCCCAACTGGCCCCAAAACACTCATCATATTTGATATGAAAGTAATCTGATGACAAATAGGTGCATTAAAAGGAACCAATTCTTCCAATATAGTTGAGGATGCTGCTACGTAGATTTTAAAAGTGACTGGAGTCAAACGGAACTCGAAGAGGAGACAGAAAAGAATTTTTAAGTGGTGCATAAATAGAACGGATCATTTTGGTGGTTTGGAGAAAATGGGTAGGACACTGGGACTGGAGGGTCTAATGTTAGCACAGTAAGTGCCAGTTATCAGAGGTCTCTATTTTCTTGAACAGAAGCGTGCTCCAGTATCTGGGGTGGGGGTTGGAGGGGGTGGTGTGGAGAGGGGGCCAGCAGGAGGGAAGACGGGTCATAGGTGAACAATCTCTTGGATGCGCTGGAGGATTGGCCTTGGAAATTCCACGGGAGGAGAGAAAAAAGGCTCAAGGAGATCTTGGCAGGTGGGAGGAGGTTGGAGCAGAGATAGCAAGTCTGGGCAATAGAAAAGGGGAGGCAAAGGGGAAGGGAAAGCCAAGAAAACATTTTTCAATGCTTTGTCTGAGACACAGGCAGCCCTGAGCACAGCTGTGAGGAGGTCACATCTCTCCAGTCTTTCTTGCTATCGGCAATCGGAGATTTGCTGCCAACCAGCTCTTCCCTGCTTGCTCAGTCCCAATTTTCCCCGATCACTTTCGTTCCCTTAGGTATTTGCTCTTTGAAAGGTAAAAATATAGCAAGTCTGACAGAGGAATGCACTGAGGGATGGGGGTGAGGATTGCATATTTAAAAGAATTCTTGTAAACATTCCTTTCTTTCAAGCATGTATTTTAAAAGGAGGTCTCTGTAAAGCCTGCCTTAATTCAAGGGAGCATCTGAAACAGGGTATTTCTGATATTGCTAATAGACCTATAGTGGTAGCAAACACATTTCCATGGCTCTCAAATTATAATTAAGTCTAGAAAGGGAAGAACTGATTTTTTTTTTTTTTTTTTAAAGAACAGTTTATTGATTTTTAGAGAGAGAGAGGAAGGGAGCAGGAGAGAGAAACATCTGTGTGAGAGGGTAACATGGATGGGCTGTCTCCTGCATGCCCCTTACAGGGGTTTCAGCCTGCACCCCAGGCATGTGCCCTTGACCCGGAATTGAACCAGCACCTTTTGGTGCATGGGATGACGCCCAACCAACTGAGCACACCAGCCAGGGCAGAGCTGAATTTTATACTTTATCTGTTACAGGCCTGGAATTGTGCTAAGTGCTTTTTTTTTTTTTTTTTTTAACATATATATGCTCTTCATTCCATTTTACAGATATGGAGCTGGAGGTCAAGTTCAGAGAGGCTGGTACCTGCCAGTGGCATATGGCAATGATCAAAGCTGACTGCAGCAATATCTTCCATATGACATGTGCTTATAGAATAGGGGGCAGTGAACTTTTCTATCAAAAGCCATACATATTTTAGGCTTTGCGAACCAGGCCATCTGTGTCCCAAACACTTAGCTCTGCCATTGTGGCAGAGATGTATATAAATGAACAGGCTGGCTGTCTTGAAGAGGTGAGCCAGATTGCACAGGAGAGCCGTTTGCTAAGCCTGCTCTCCAACGTCGCTACTTCCTGTTGGGAGGTGGAGTCTAATTCCCCTCTCCTCGAACTCTGGGAAATGTGATTTGCCTGGGACTGAGAGAATGTGAAGGAAGTGACACTGCATGACCTCTGAGGCTAAAGAGGTGATGCAATGTCTACCTTACTCTCGGCTTGGAGCCCTGAGCCACCACCGAAGCAGTCCAGTTGTCCTGAGGCCCCATGCTGTAAGCAGGCCATGCTAGCCATGTGCAAAGACGGAGAAGTGCTGAGGCTGTAAGAAGAGGGGGTTGCTCAGCCAGCCCCCAGTTTTAGCTCTTCCCCTGACTGCAAGCCCCGGAGAGATGCTGAGCCACAATTAGCCAGTGGACGCTCCTCCAAACTCCTGCCCCATAGAAACAGAGGAATAATATGATGCTGTTGTTTTAAGACACACAGAACATTGCTCCCAACTGGTGTGTGGCAGATATGGGATGCAAACCGAGGCTGGCCTGACCTCAACCATGTATTCTTTCTATTACATGATTGTTTCCAGCAGAGGTTGTATTTTTTTTTAAAACTGCTAAAATATATGTAATAAGATTTACTGTGTTAACTATTTGAAAATGTACAGTTCAATAAGTACAGTTACATTGCTGTGCAACCAAGTCTCCAGAATTCTTTTCTTGACTCCAGCCCTAGCACCACCATTCTCCTTTCTGTCTCTATGAATTTGTTGACTCTAGGTCCCTTGTGCACGTGTCCTTCTTGTGACTGGCTCATTGCACTTAGTGTGAGTATGTGTGTGTGTGTTTCTGTATTTATGTATTTTAAGCCCGTGTTGGTTAGCGAGCCTGACCAGTGCGTAGCAAAGATTTGTCAAGGAAAAACATCAGAGCTTCCAGGCCCTGTAAGTCACAGACACAGTATGTCCCAGGATGGACCTTGCCCTCACTCTCACAATGACAACTCAGTGTCCTGCCTCTACAGGGCTTTGAAGAAAAAGGAACCCCTGCATCAAGAATAAGATAAGGCTGTTGGATTTGTTTCAGCTTGTGCGCTGTTTGACTTCCCTCTCAGAGCCATGCTCTGAGAATGAAATCATTTTCTCTCACGCGGCCCTTGCAAAGAGCATCCAACACAAACACTCGCTGTCTGCTTCCTTATTTCCTCTCTGTCCAGGGTGTGCACTGAGTTGGTAGAATTTCTGTGGCTGGCTGTGAATTATATATCGAGCCAAAAATCCTGCAGGGAATCAGCTCAAATGCTACTACTTGCTTACGCAGACGAAGACGGAGCCTTTGGGAGTTTCCTTGACCTTCTCTGCCTTCCCTTGTGCCTAACCTAAGACCAAAAGGCCGAGGTCACACTTTTATTTATTTTTTATTATTATTATTTTTTAATATATTTTATTGATGTTTTACAGAGAGGAAGGGAGAGAGATAGTTAGAAACATCGATGAGAGAGAAACATCGATCAGCTGCCTCCTGCACATCTCCTACTGGGGATGTGCCCGCAACCCAGGTACATGCCCTTGACCGGAGTCGAACCTGGGACCTTTCAGTCCGCAGGCCGACGCTCTATCCACTGAGCCAAACCGGTTTTGGCCACACTTTTATTTTTTAAATATATTTTTATTGAATTCAGAGAGGAATGGAGAGGGATAGAGAAATGGAAACATCAATGACGTGTGATCTCTGAGTCCGTGGCCTGTTTATAACACGCGTGCTAACTTCGCTTCTGTGATAGAGCTGTTGAGAGGTTAAGTGAAATAATATATGTCAAGGTCCTAGCACAGGACCCAGAACAAAGTAAATGGTTAGTGGTGTTATTACTACCTAGAGGCCCTGTGCACGAAATTCGTACAAGAGTAGGCCCTCGCAGCCGCCCAGGCTTCATCCGGAAAGTTGTCCGGAAGGTTGTCCAGATAGTCGTTCCGCTGTTCGGCCGTCTGGTCTAATTACCATATTACACTTTTATTATTATAGATTATTATTATAGATTGTCATTAATTGTAGTTAGCATTATTAAATTGCAATGAATAGCTATTTGCACCATCTTTGATATTCCCCGTCTCCTATTTCCAGGCTTCATATAAATAAGGTATCCAATAACACATTCAACCTATTTTAAGTTCAGCTAATAACATCTCTTGTTGAAGTTCTTCAATGCTCTGCTAACAGTGGAAGTCCCCTATAACAGGAGGGCCTTTCTCTTTGCTGCCCAGCTGATGGAACTTTTCCCAGCAGCCGGAGGGCATGGCCCGGCCTCAGTGAGGATGCTCCCATTCCCCCTGGCTGCCTGCATTCCCTGACCCGTCTGGTCAGACCTGGTATTTTTCCTCCCTCCTCCTGGGCAGCTTCCATATCACCCAGACAGCTGCTGCCACATCCCGTTGCTTCAGAAGCGGAAGGAAGGCGCATTTCGGACCTTTCCGGGTGAGTGACAGCATTTGAGATGAGATGAATGAAATGCCAGTGCTGAGGGAAAACCAGACTTCCCCCAGTCACCTCCGCTCCACCTTCCTCGTGACACACAGAACGAGCCTGACCGATGTCAGTCCCTGCCTTCTGGTCTGGCAGCCTCTTTGGGAGACAGTGGGCGCTGGTGACGTGGGTGTGAACTGTCCCTTCGTGAGGGTGGCTTTGCGACACCCTGCCACTGAGTGAGCCTGCATGCAGCTGGCCACTTTGTCCTTGGCTGTGCCACCGAGCCTGCCAGCGCTCTGTGGACATCACGGGGCATCTGCTCCAGGGGCAGAGGAGGTATTATTCCAGGTCACCCATGGGTGCCGCAGGGATTTTCCTCAGCCACCACATGATGACTGAGTGAGAGCATTCCAGGAAACCAGAAGGGCTGCTCGAGCCTCTGGAATGTCAAAGGAAACTGCTTGGCAAGGCTGCCGGCCCTTTTCTGCTGTGTCATTTTCTCTGAGCCGCGCTTCCCTATGTGGCTGCATGCTCACTTCCCGCCGAATCCCACAAACTTTAACCTTTACCTTCCTTACAAGGGAGAGTCTATTTTTTCCCTTCCACAGAAACTTTAATTTTTTAAGATTCAAGATGTCCCCAAATGTCATGGAAACTCACAGATGAAGAATACCCACTCCCTTTTAATTCAAATGTATTCTGTTTAACTAGCAGGAGGGACTGGTTGTATTACATCTGATTGAGGCCATATGCACCCAAGGGTACAGGTTATGGACTCAATGTTTGTGTCCCCACAAAATGCATATGTTGAAGCCCCAACTCCCAATGTGATGTTGTTTGAAGATGGGGCCTTTGGGAGGTAAGGTCATGAGGATGGGGTCCCCATGATGGGATTAGTGCCCTTAGAAGAAGAGACACCAGATCTCTCTGATTCTGTCTCTTTGTCTCTTTCTCCCCATGTAGAAAGGCCACGTGAGAACATAGTAGAAAGGCAGCCATCTGCAACTGAAGACAAAGACGAAAGCTCTCACCAAACATCTAACCTGCTGGCACTTACATCTTGGACTTCCCAGCCTCCAGAATTGTGAGAAATAAATGTCTGTTTCTTAAGCTACCCAGTCTCTGGTATTTTGTTATAGCAGCTCAAGCAGACTAGGCAATACCTCAGGAGCAAAAGAAACTAAACTCCAACCCTAACTGGTTTGGCTCAGTGGATAGAGCGTCGGCCTGCAGACTGAAGGGTCCCAGGTTTGATTCCGGTCAAGGGCATGTACCTTGGTTGCGGGCACATTTGCAGTAGAGGGTGTGCAGGAAGCAGCTGATCTATGTT